AGTTTCATGTAATGTTAAGGGGACTCCGATGTCAGGCGGGAATCGCACTTTTTTTGTGCTGTTTTTGCTTCGAGATTTATGTTGGGGGTCAGTGTGAGGAAGAATACCCTCCTTATATTGGGGGTCAGTGTGAGGAAGAATGCCCTCCTTATGTTGGGGATCAGTGTGAGGAAGAATGCCCTCCTTATGTTGGGGGTCAGTGTGAGGAAGAATGCCCTCCTTATGTTGGGGGTCAGTGTGAGGAAGAATACCCTCCTTATATTGGGGGTCAGTGTGAGGAAGAATGCCCTCCTTATGTTGGGGATCAGTGTGAGGAAGAATGCCCTCCTTATGTTGGGGGTCAGTGTGAGGAAGAATGCCCTCCTTATGTTGGGGGTCAGTGTGAGGAAGAATGCCCTCCTTATGTTGGGGGTCAGTGTGAAGAAGAATACCCTCCTTATGTTGGGGGTCAGTGTGAGGAAGAATGCCCCCCTTATGTTGGGAGTCAGTGAGGAAGAATGCCCTCCTTATGTTGGGGGTCAGTGTGAGGAAGAATACCCCCTTATGTTATGCTGCTTAAAATCCAAACCAGACCTGTATCTCATATAAGGGTTTGGTATGGATTTTGGAGGGTCCACATGTCTTTTTTTTTTGCTTCCTCGTCACCAGGGTGCATGGAACTGGCTTCCCGGCCAATCAGGAAGCCGGGGGGTAATGACAGGCTCCATGCTCCCTCATCACTTGGTGACCAGGGAGCTTGGAGCCGGCTTCCTGGCCAATCAGGAAGCCGGACGGCACGTATTGACTCGCTGCCCGGCTTCCTAATTGGTTGGGAAGCTGGCCAATCAGAAAGCCGGGTGACAAGTCATTACCCGGCTTCCTGATTGTCCAGAAAGCCGGCTCCAAGCTCCCTCATTACCTGGTGACGAGGGAGCATAGAACCAGCTTCCCGGCTAATCAGAAAGCCGGGCCGTGAGTCATTACACGCAGCCTGGCTTCCTTAATGGGACTTCCGGTATCGGTATTCGGTATTGGTGAGTCCCGAAAAAAAATAAAAATATTCGATAACGAAAAATCGTTATCGGTGTATCCCCAATGAAAACCTTAACTGGATGACACATAGATTGTCCTGTTCATTTGGTATTAAAAAACAACAAAACATTTTTTTTTATTAACATTTTCTTTTTGGTTGGTTATATTTTGGATCTAGGATGTGGTGCGTGAACCTAATGGGCTGTTGACATCTACTATAGTTCAATGACAAATCTTTATTATAGTTTATAATGAGAAAAAAACAAACAAAAAAAAACCTTGTAGACATTTGTAGACGGTGAACATCGATCTCCTGGGTGCCACTGAAAATGGCGTTGTGTGTCCACTGTGGCACCCGTGCCTTTTAGGTTGCTGAACCTCAATCTAATATAATGAATGCCATTTAGTGACTGAAGCTTGTTTGTGGAGCTGAAGTAGAATTCGGTCTGTCAGGTAATACATTTTTTTTTTGTATCAATATTTGATGCGACCCTTGCCTTTTTATATGAGGTTGGTTTCCTTTTCTAGTAATTTGAAAATTGCAAGTAGCTGAGTGCCGGTTATATATGTAAAATGTGATTTATTGAATCAAGAACTGCTCTTCCGACAGCCGACTCTGTGCACGGAGCACCGGCTTTTGCCAATGGAGTGTCTGATCCCGGCTGTTTACTCAGGTTATCGGTAATAAGAGTCCGTGGTTACATAATGTTCTGTTATACATCTTCCCAGTTGGCAGAGAGACTCACCGGGGAATTTAATGTGTGTGTACTTTCTTTAATTTCGAATGCATAGCTAGTCAGGATCAATACGCCTGCGTGGAGGATTATTCCAATTTTCTGCATTTTAATTGACCTTTACTAGTCAGAGATTGATCAGGTTCCCTGTTGAGAAGGCTACTTTATTGTATTTATTATACTCGATCATTAGAGATGAGTGAACTCCTTGCTTTTCCATTCACTGAATTAACGTGTGCTGTTAGGTCAATAATTTCTCCTTTTTTTTCCTCTACTCTTCCAGCTTGATCTTTAAAGTACACGCGTTTCTTGCACACATTTGAAGCAACCGTTTTCTTAGAGACTGTAAGAAAAAAAACGAAAGAACAGCGCCGTCTCCTCCTGAAATACCGTTTAATTATCCAAATAAAAGCTGAATAAAATAATACTTACAAGCGGTGTCTGTTACATGAGGTTTCAGAACAACCTTCCGGACTGATATACAAGAAATCGGCATTAGGCTGAGCAATCACACCGGCCAAATTATGAACCAGAACTTTGGTCTTGCTGACGCGTTTCAAGGGACATACCCTATTCATCAGAGCAAGCGGCAAGTGAACCAGACTTGAACTTTCATTTGTATATATATATATATAAAAGTGAAACTCGAATAATTAGAATATCGTGCAAAGTTCATTTATTTCACTAATGCAACTTAAAAGGTGAAACTAATATATGAGAGAGACTCATTACATGCAAAGCAAGATAGTTCAAGCCGTGATTTGTCATAATTGTGATGATTATGGCTTACAGCTCATGAAAACCCCAAGAACCCCAAATCCACAACCTCAAAAAAGTAGATTATTACATGCAATCAATAAAACAAGGATTGTACATAGAACAATATCGGACCTCTGAAAAGTACCAGCATGCATATGTACTCAGTACTTGGTTTGGGCCCCTTTTGCAGCATTTACTGCAATTACTTTTGCACGATATTCTAATTATTTGAGTTTCACCTGTATATATATGTATACATATACGCACAATGACAAACCTCATGTAACAGACACAGCTTGTGAGTATGATTTAATTCATCCACACACAGCTACCTTCTCATGTATCACTGGCCCCTCCCTTTTAGAGGTAGGTCTTATTTTTGGGGAAACAGGGTATGCTGAATAATAATAATTTGGATTAATAAACAATATTTCACGAGGAGAAGGCGCCGTTTTTTTTTGTTTTTTTTCTTGAGATTCCTGAGGCTTCCCAACTTGTTAGGGAACAGCAGCCCCCTTCATGCCATCTTAGCGATGTCCGTCTTTAAATATTCACGCCAGGTGATGTTGTGAGACCCCCCCTCACACCAATCACTGTGTGATTTGAAAATGTTCTTCTTCCTCACATGTCCTGTAGAGGTGTCTGGACTGAAGTGACGTCACATTCTGGCTCCCGGCACCTCTACAGGGCGTGCAAGGGAGCTGTACAAGCAATGCACATATGGATGGAGCTCCGTCACAGCACAGCAACCCACACTAGACCTCAAGCTAAGGATACACTCCAGTTTTTGTAAGGTAGGGAGACTGGGTGGTCCTTTTAAAAAAGTGTGTGAGATTGGGTCTGTGTATGTAAGTCAGTGTTTTTGAGGGCCCATTTACACTAGTTCAGCACATTAAACTGTACCACACAATTCTGCTGAGGGGGGTGTGTTGCGTTGCCATTCATTTGAATGGGACCCCAAACACACCTCCCACCCACAGTTCATACGCTGGCACCGGAACGGTTACCTAATGCTGTGCGCTCCATTGCAGTGCGACTTGGGTCACGACTTGACCCAAGTGACCGAGGACAAATGTGGGTCCTGAGGTTACACAGGTTGAGAACCTCTGCTCTAGGCCATATTTTATAGGCTAATTGTTATTATAAGGTAAACCCTGAAATGCTGCAATAACTAAAAATGTATGCCCTCCTTACCATCTTGTCTTGAATTGTATTGTGATTGTAATGTCTTCCTTATATTGTACAGCGCTGCGCAAACTGTTGACGCTCTATAAATCCCGTATAATATTAATAATGCTCATTGAAAGTAAACTACACATAAGAAAAGTAAATCAGTTGTCTATAGCAGCCAGATTCCAGCATCCCGATTTTTCCGTGCTTTGGTGCCGTTGTTTTATCCCTTTTTTTTTTCCCTCCGCAGGATTTTGTAATATTATTAGAGACAGGTCACGACAAGATTCTGTGGCTTTCCTACGTTCGGAACGGAATTTATTATCAGACAAAAAAATTATAATTCAACAAACGTGTCCGGTCCAGCTATAACACACAATCTCCCTATTTTATTTAATCAGAACCAAAGATAAAGAATGAATAAATTCACCAATCGGATGCCACCGCTGCCGCCTGTCATCGGACAGAAGTGGTGTAGATAGTGCTCTCGTCCACACACAACACATCAAGCTTCCTTTTCGATTATTATCAGCTCAGTCTTTCCTGTCTCAGGAATGTACAATGGCCATGAACAGGTAAAAAAAAAATGACTGAGTATGAGCAGTACAAAATAATAGTACATAAATAGATTAATAGATGTATTCAAATGTGTGTGGGGGTGGGTGCACATTGCATGGTCCTGAAATGTTGAGGCTCTGTAATGACGGTTGGAGTATTAGGAGATACGAGAGTAATAATTTATCCCTAGTCCTCGTAGTCCCTGAAACTAGGGAAATATTGTGTGTTTTGTTATAATTCAAACATGGTGACAAATACAGATCCAACCACTTGTTTTAGGGGCAGGAAGTGGGTGTGAAGGTTTCCCGCCTTCTGTATGATGTACATCATAATTTCTGCCTTTTATGAGAGAAACTTGACTCCTACTAGATATCTGATTTCTGTTTTACAATAGATACACCGGGGGGTTTAAAATACATAGAAGCTTCCCTGACTGTCGGCCAAAAAGTGCATTAGCATCTGTTTTCCGCCATATTGGAAATGATGGTATGTGTTCCTGTGTCATGTTACCCTGCCAGGCTGTGATGTTTCTTCTCCACAGCATTGTGCTTACTGATGGCTAGATTCCTAGTCTTTGATACCAGTTACCTTTGTGGCCGCGGCTCTGGTCAGAGTCGGGAGCTGTGTTTTTTAATTCTTTTACATATTTTAGGGGGTACTTTATAAAATGGTCGATTCCCCCACCTAAATAAGAGAACCATGGCTTGTTGTACTCCATTGATCAAAGTGCTTTGTACAATCGTGAGGTCCTCTCCCCTTTTTTTTTTCTTTCATATAAATATAAAACTAAATAAATATCTCAGCGAGAGAGGCTCACTCCCTTATTCAGGGCTTCAAGAATTTCGAAGTCCCTTGCCATACGCCACAACCAAAATAGCACCCCAACGGTCGTTCCTCTTTTCCCGTCCCCCTTATGTGTCGGATAAGGCCCCTGGTTGCCTCGGGCAAGTCACACGTGTGTCTGCATCCTCCTCTGAAGTGGCCGGCTAGGGTCAGAGTTTTGAGAAGATGATTGGGAATAGGAAGATGCCGAGGCTTTGCTGGACTTGTCGAACTGGACGTAGCCATCTTGCTTCCCGCTGCTGCTGACGCTGCTGTCGCACTGAGTGTCCAGGAAGGAACTGCTGTCGCTCATGGATCCTCTCTGGAACTCCCGTTCGCACAGCTCGATGGAGCTGCTGCCCATACCGAGGACGAAACGCTGGCTGTAATCGTATAGGCGGTTCTGTCCGCTCAGGGTGCTGTAGATGTTGGTGAAGGACATGCCTGTGGGAACCCGTTGCTTGTTGGGCGGTCGGACGTCTGGTTGGCAGTTGGATAAAGCGATGGTTGGAGTTGAGTGGTGATCTTTGAATGTGTTCACACTGTAGTAGCCATTGGTGGGGTCCTGAAAGACATAAAAACCCATAAATGTTACAAAAGTGTAGAAACATCAAAATGCTGAATTCTAAGGGGAACTTGACCCACTAATTTAACTGTCTCCCAAAGCAGGTAAAGTAATGCTAAACTCAGAAGTTAAACCTTAAAAATGCATTCAAGTCCCTTAACTAGTAACAACAACGATCCTATTTGTGTATAACTCGGCTGTAGATCCTCCAATCATCTATGAATTGGTGCCGTCACTGTCCTTCCTTCTGGAGGGGGGCTACGGCTGTTCCCCATGGTCCCTGTGTGTGTTGTAAAGTAGTCACCGCTCCAAGCTCCCCCCCCCCCCCCTGGATGGACTACAATCCCAATACAAATTAGTAAACTAAACATGAGATTGTAGTCCATCCCGGGAGTGAGCTTGGAGGGGTGACTACTTTACAATACTTACAGGGACCATGGGGAACAGACGTAGCCCCCCTGCAGAAGGAAGGACACTGTCAGCACCAATTCAGAGATGATCGGAGGATCTACAGCCGAGTGATACACAAATAAGATACATTGTTGTTCAGAGTTAAGGTTCTTGAATGTATTTTTAAGGTTTAACTCCGGAGTTGAGTGTCACTTTAGTTTTAAGACATGACAACTTTCAAGGTTGCCAGTGTGCTTATTTCAGCTCTCAACCGAACTTTCAAATCATCAAATGACGGGTGTCATAGCTGATCACATGTGCAACGCCATGGCAACTACAATCTGAACAGAGGTTAAGGTGATACCTTCCTTGGCTGTAAAGGAGCGTGTAGTTCTGCTGTAGGGTCCGTTCACACCACATCCGGTGTGTTCCGTCATGGTTAGTGGCCGGAACACACTGGATCACATAATTAAAGCTTACTGCGTTGTGGGATGGGAGGCGGCGTGCAAGTCAATGGCATCGCAGACACGCCCTGATCCCGCTGTGCAAATGCCTGCGCCAGAATGCGTGGTGCAGCAATGCCCGCAGTCCAGTGCGGTGCAATTGCAAAAAAATAGTGCATGCACATTGGATGTAGAGTGAACGAGCCCTTAAAGGAATAGAAGAATTTTATGACCTAACAATAACCCACAAGCTCCTATATGAAGCAGACCTGTCCTTGGGAATATGAAAGCAAGCTAATAAGCTGAAAGAAGCGCTGTAGTTTGTTCCACCTAAATTGGGGGGGGGGGTCTCAGAAAAATTGCAAATGACTGATTTCATGTCTGAGGTCTGACATGCCCCTAACATTCCTGCAGTACACCATACTGCAATGCAGAGGACTTCAGCCTACAGAGAGGGGTTTGGTTTGGCCTACTTTGTGTCTTATTCCAGGACTACAGAAACAAAATGGTGTATCTTGCCTACTAATCAGGTCCCGGATCTCACTTTCTTTCTCCAGTCAGCGCTGGCGGATCGGAGCGGGGAGAAGGGAATCCAGCCCCTCCCCTGTCACGGCAGAGAGCCATGACAGGATCGAGAGGTGAGTGAACACCGGTATGTGTTCGCTCACCTCCCGATCTACTGAGCCGACCTGTGACAGTCTCATTGTCACAGGTCGGCTAGAACTATGAGGTGAGTAGAAAGCAATCGCCTCATAGTTCTCCTTTAAGCAATGCGCACATTTCCTATCCTGGAGTTCAGTAAACAATTGCAGTGACACTTGTACAAACCAAGATATCACAGCTAGCAACATTTTAATAGCATTGTATTGATTTTTTTCAGAAGAGGTCCTCTGGTCTTCAAATCACGTCTTCTATATAACCTGCCTTGGCTTTTTTAATTCATGAGATCCACAGTTACTCGATAGGCTTTTTTTTCCTTTAAACTGCCCCGTTTAATTCTTTTTTTGCCTAGCAGGTTGCAAAGGAGAGACGGCCGGGAACTGAGCTGTCTGCTTCCACTAAATGACACAGCCCTCAGCAAGCCACGCCCATGCTCCCGACTCTTCCCCCTTTCACAGTAATTTGACAGACAGCTGCAGCAGCCTATCACTGCTCTGTCCTCTGTGGCCTCGGGATCTGTCCTCCACAACCCAGAACTTTGGGGAAGCAGCAGAGATTGAGAGCCAGCGACGGTGAACATGGACTACTAGATTGTAAGCTCTCATGAGCAGGGCCCTCCTATCCCTCCTGCATTAAAATTGTATTGTTAACGGTATTGTTATAAAGCGCTGCACAAACTGTTGGCACTATACAAATCCTGCATAATAATGTTATTAGGTCATTGTTTGGAGGAGGGGGGCATGGAAATGTACCGGGGTGTTTTTTTTTTTTTTAACCTTAGTGCAGAGAATGCAAATAGCCTTTAGTACTATAGTACTTTAAAATTCTGTGTCCAGTTCTGGAGACCTCGCTTGCTAAGAGATATTTCTAACATAGAACAAGTCCATAGACGGAGACAGGGCCGGCCTTAGGGGTGTGCGAGCAGTGCGGCTGCACAAGGCGCCATGGCAACAAGGGTGCCATGCGGCCGACACAGCTCGTCCTGAAAAAATAAAAATAAAACGTAAAAAAGGATTTTAAAAAAGTGAAAACAGCCCCCCCCCCCCCTCCCCACACACACATACATATTATTAGACAAGTGTGAAGGCTAAAAATTAATTTGAGATCAAATGAACGAAAACTACAAAAGTTTTCATTTGCTTCATCAAACAAAACACTTTTTGATGCTATTTTGGATTCAGCCATTGGCGTGTTCTGGAAGCAGGGCGCATGACGTCATATAACACCGCACGTGTTGGGCGCCGCCATCTTGGTGTATATCTAGGTATACACCAAGATGGTGGGGCCAATATCGGCGTGTGACGTCACCTGACGCCACGCATGGATGGCGTCATGTAACGTCATGCTGCCTGCCTCCAAGATGGAGGCAAGCATTCAGCAAACACGCCGGTGGCCAACATGGCCGCCGCACATTCTCAAACAAATTATTATGCGCCTGAATAAATTTTTCGTACATTCGGACATATAGTAATTCATTAATTTTACATGTAGTCCGGGGTTTTGTGTTCTGTTTTCTATTTTTACTTTTCTAGATGCACTTACTTGAAAAAAGGGATCGGCATGACAACCGGACTCTTTATTTATATAGACTCTATTGTAGTTTGACATTTATTGTTCACCTTCTGTTGTTTTATTTGATAAGAATACTTACATTGTGCCTACAAGTTTAATACATTTGAATAAAAGTTTTATTTTTATCATACTTTTTAATATGTTTCTTTGCGGCTTAACAAAATAGGAGTCTGCGGATATTATGGGGGGAAATGGGTGTGGTTACGGGGGTGTGGCCAATAAAGGGTGTGGCCACTGAGGGGCGCTGTAAAGCTTTCTCGCACAGGACGCCTAAAGGCCTAAGGCCAGCCCTGGACGGAGAGCAACAGCAGTGAGGGCTAGTTCACACCAAGTGCGGAGCAGATGCAGAGCAGTTACAGAACGCATAAAAAATGCATCTGATGTATTCCAATGATATCCAATGATAAGGATGATGGGACTCTGAAGAACCTTCACATTCGGCACTTTTGGGAGTGTCAGATGCCCGCATACCCCTCTGCATGCTGCGGTTCCCCCCTTTTGATCCGGGGAGTCACGTGTCTGCTGCTTCCCAAAGTGATGTAGGGGCTGGCGGAAAGAACCACAGCATGCAGCAGTGAACCAATCATCCGACTCTCCTGGGAGTCCCAAAAGTGAAGGTTCTCCCGGTCGCTGGCGATTTGAGGGCCAAGCACCCACTGTGTTTAATTTAATAGACGGAGTCAAGTCATCGGGAACCAAAATGAAAAGCAGCGGAAAATTCAGTCAGACACAATAAGGCTGTAGAAGCACATGTAGGCCGCAGTCCCCGGAGAGGTAGTCTGCACACGTTGCTATGGCAACTACTTTGATTAAATATGACACCAAATCATTTTTTGGAGGAGAGGAGATTAATTATCCTTTAAACACATTCCTTCATCTCTATGTAAATAAATCTGACTTAAAAGGCTAATAACCAACTGAAATTGTTTCTACGAGGAGAAATAGCAGGGTGAGGCTGTGATATTCTGTCATAGTCTGTGATTATCCAGGAGGGAGGGGGGACTCTCTGAACTTTTGTTTTCTGACAAACAAAGAAAACAACAAAGAAAAGTCCTCAAGCGAGTACCAGCCTTCGGTGGAAGCTGCCAATCTCAGACTCGCAGGCCTCATGCACGTTCCAGGGTCGGAGCATCAGGGGAAGCAGAGCCGTAGTCCAACTTAACGGCCGGTGCACACCTAGGCGGACCAGATCTACAAGAGTTTCTGTACAGACACTGCATAGTGCTTTGCAATGTTTTTGCCGCGTTTAAGGCCCTTTTTGTAGTCTAAAACGGGCTTTCAGTGCGTTCCAGGGCGTTCGCTGCGAGCCGAGTAATCGCCGCCTAACGTTTTCACAACATAGTAGCAAACAACAAGGTGACTTGTGAGCCAGAACGTCGTAGTAAACGATCAATGGCGGCGCTTGGGTCTCGAACCTTTCTGTGTAGTAAAAGTACTCGGTCTTACTACTCCCTAGTTTTTTGCTTTTTTTTTGGACCAGACCGCTACGTTTAACGCACAATTTATACAGTCATTTCGCATTACGCTTAACCCTGCGTGTAAAGGGATCTCCGTAGGACTCTTGTCTTGATTTATCAGTGTGTACTCTTAATTGGCTGCTAAAGCTTAGGGCCAGTGATCCAGAGGCTCTGGAATGGAACTGCAGCAGATGTTATTATATGGAGGTCAGCCAGGGGGCTCAGCTGTAAAATGGGTCTCTTGTCTTCATAGCATTTGGTCCGGAGACAAAACTGAAGCCACATATTTTGCTGGTCAAGGTTGGTAACATTATTACTGAGCTGCAAAGGCGGCTAAATTGTTTTTCTGTTTATATTCTGTGACATGCATTGGCTTTGTCATTTTGGTCCTGAGAGGATACATCCATTTCAGACCGTTCTGTCTTCCCGCAGTCATCCCAGGAAAAGTACGCTGTAAACCTAAGTGAGTGCAAACACT